CATTTTTGACAAATTTTCATTTAGGCTCTGCCTCAGTGCTTCCAGAGGAAGGGAGCCGGTGCCTTTGTGGAGAGGGCAGGAGTGGGGAGCTCTTTGAATGTTTGCCTACTGGAAGTTCGCCAAACACAGGGTGGGGCCAAAGTCAGTTTACAGTCGTGAGGATGTGAAACAGAGTTTATTCTAGTATTATTATTTATTAATTATATTATTATTACATTATTTTTCATACAAACAATTGTAAACCTACTTTTGTCCCACCCTGTCCAGATAAATCCATGGTTCAAATTTTACCTTCTTAGTGTCTTCCCCTCACCCAGCCTCAGTCACCTTCCCACTGGAAGTCTCCTTCCTTTTAAGTGTCTCACTGACACCCAAAGTTTGGAGGAGGGGAGCAGACAGTGGATTAAAACCAAGAACCCACACTTACCTAGATGCTTTTAGATTTGAAAAATATGAAAGTCACGTATCCCTAAATTCATTTCCAGGAGGGGAAGTAAAAAATAGAGGCTGGAAGGCGGCAGAGGAGAACCAGAGTGGAGGGGGGGAGGGAGCCAGAACGCCGCCTTCCCAGTCCGCCCACTCACACCTCCGCGTCCCTCAGAAGTGACCACAGCCTCTATTTGAACATTTTCAGAGGTGAAGGGCTTATAACTTTCTGAAGCAATCAATTGAATTAAGATACTCTTCCCTTTCTCACCTGGAATGGCCTGGGATAAAAGAGAAGAGAAATAGGTCCCCACTCATGTAAGGTCTCTCACGTGAGAAACAAGGAAATGGTTTCAGGCAACAATCCCTTAACCAATCAAGTAGGCCGCAGAAGGCCTCGTCAACAGAGAGTGGTGTTTTTGCCTTGACACTTACAACTGCAACAGTTACCGAAGCACTGGGTCTCGCTTGAGTGCAGTGGAGAGAGTTGGAAATAATCTACAATGAGGTATCAGCCCAGGTGCTTTGACACTCACAGGTCTCTCAACCCAGACCCTGTTGTGTCTGTCTTCAGTTTGGAAACTTTTTCCTCCAAAAGTACCGCAGCTTGAAAATGCCTTTTAAGCAGAGCTTTTTTTTCTTTTCAGATTTCTTGACAAAGACTGAAAAGGGGTCTCAAAATAATCTGTATTAAACTTCTCATTTTACAGAGAGAAACTGAGGCCCGAAGAGGTGCACAATTCTGTCAAAAATCACATCCTTCACATGTCTTCTCTTTAGTCCTCCAACAGTGCTTATCGGGAAGTGCTTTGGCCCCATCAGCCCCCTGGAAAGTTCAATTTCCCTCTAATTCTTCTCTACCCTGACCTCAGGTGACATGCCCCACTCCCTAAGGGAACTCTGTTTATTTTTAAAGTTTCTACTGATCATTGGGCAACAGGAGGAGCAGGGAAATTAACTCAAATGGCCACCATGTTGAGGGATAGCCTGACTTAAGGGTGATTGTAGCTATTGCAGGAATGACTTCAACAAGAAATTACACAGAAGTATCCAGAATACTCAAGGATTAGCCAAAAAAGTTCAAGAATACTTCTCTCTGAGATGAGTGGGCTCAAGGGGTAGGGTGGTAGAGCTCATGCATAATTTTTTACCAGCATCTCGCACTGTGCGTTAGTGAAGTCAATTCTTCTGTGTCTCCGTTTTCTCAGATGTAAAACGGAGCACATGTGCAGGTGATATTCAGCACTGCCTACTTAAGACACTATTTTTTAAAAAGTAGCAACTGTTTTATGAGTTATTCCTGATGCTTACCAAAACCCTGTCTCCCCAAGGTATATCTTTTTTTTTTTTTTATGGTTTATTTAAATTTTTGTTTTCAGGCCCTGGCTGAGTAGCTGAGTTAGAGTGTTGTCCCGATATGCCAAGGTTGCAGTTTTCATCTCTGGTCAGGGCACATATAAGTATCAACCAATGAATGCATAAATAAATGGAACAGCAAAGGCAAATTGTTTTGTTTTTACTTATTTTCTTTCTAGAAGCATGATATATATTTTTTTTTTAAATATTTTTTATTGATTGATTTTAGAGAGAAAAAAATCAATTTGTTGTTCCACGTATTTATGTATTCATTGGTTGATTCCTGTATATGCTCTAACTGGGCATCGAACCTGCAACCAACTGAGCAGAGACCAGGGCTCACCAAGGTATAGCTTGAAGATTAGCAAGGTAACAATGATAATGACATTTTAGGATCTAGAGAAATTAAATGATTAAGTGAGAAGAGTTAAATGTTTTGTGTTTTAATGACCAACGTGAAGATGGGAAATTCCAGTGTAGGCAGTAATCTTTACAAGAAGGGATCATTAGAAATATCATCTTAATGGGTTTCCGCACTTTTTTGTGTGTGTTTTATTTTTGAGTCTAAGGGATAAAAATTTGATCATAGAATTCCTAGAATGAAAAAAAAAAATGATCAAGGCATAGATAAACTCTCAGAATTTCCACAATTCTGAGAACGGTGCCTTCAATAACGTGCCATGTTGGTAACATCAGGAGAATTCTCTTTCAACCACATCCCAGCACCCAGTAATACAGAGACTAAAAACACCCAGGTTGATTAATACATCCCCTGTAACCCGTCACAATTTTAAATGGTGGCTTCGGAAACTTTCAGAATGAAAATCTGCCTTGTGAATCAGCTAGAAATTGCATCTGTTGACAATCTGTTTTATTTCTGTCATTAGAGACATCTCACCCCTGAGGAATGAAGGCTTGTTTAAGATTGAGTTCATGGAGGAAAAAGTCCGAGATGAGATTATTTGTTACCCAACCCATTTCATTCTCTTTAACCACCAAGTTCCCATTTGCCTCTGGATTGGACTATCTCAAGAGCCTCATGAACTTCCTCTGTGCACCTGTCTGTCCACCCCATGCCAGAGTCCTCTCCACAGAGATCTACCCTGTCTGAAGTGAACGGAAAGAGCACAAGCAGGAGAGACCTAAGTTTAAGCCCCAGCTCTGTCACTGCCATGTGATTTCTGAGTTTTGGGTTCTCCATATATTGGGTTTGTGACATTCACATTGCAAAGTCCTTATGGAAATTAAAATAAAACACATATCTGGCACATAGAAGGCACTCTATAGATGGCAATGTTTACTTTCTAGTAGTCTTTTATTGACTACCAAATGGAGTTACATTTTTTAAAAACTTGTTATCCAAGACCTTGAATCATTAATTTGACCCCATCCTTCCTGTCCAGTCTTAATTCCCAATATCCTCACATCACCGTCTAGTGCTGGGGGCCACAGCAGACCACTGTGGTTCCTTAGTGCTCTGCTGTGTCTTTGTTCAGATGGTCCTCTCTGTCTGGAATCTCCACTTATGGAAATTTACTAGTCCATCAGGGCTCTTCCTGTATGCCACCTTCATGAAGCCTCCTCTGATAGCTTCAGGCTCCATAGATCTTATCACATTCCGGCTTTGTATTACTGTTGTTATATCTGTGCCTTTCTCCCTCTTACTAGGTTATAAATCTCTTAAGGATAAAGACTGTCTTGTTCATTTTAATATTTCATACAGTGCTGAATACGAGGGAATGCAAGGTATTGGATAGATTTTTGGAGAACTGAGTAAATGAAAAGGTCCTCATAATACTTCCCCTTGCCCCACTCCCACCAAGACCATTCATATCCTCAGATAAGTCGCCGCTTGGTAGCAATAACACACGTTTACTTGAAATGTGTTTCCCAGAAATAAGGCATGAGTAAAGTTGTAAAGATATTTTTGTTCTGGCTCAGACTAACCTCCCACTTTGCAAAGACCCTGCTGAGACAGAAATCCCAGTATAAGCATTCCTAAACTCACACCAAGTTAGCTCCAGAATGAAGTACGGGATCAGTTCACAGCTCTACATGACGGCCACTTCCGCCCCAGAAACAAGCAAAAAGGCTCCATACGATTCATTGTTTCACTTCTTCACACATCTTTCTGTGGCCTGTTAGCATTATTATCTATGAGGGGGAAATTTGTGGTTATTTCTTTAAAAAAAAAAAAACTTGACAAAACCGATTTGAAAGGATGAATGAAATTCAAAATTTGCATATATATATAAATATCATATACACATACATATAGTACATGCATATACACACACAAGAACGTAAAAAGTAGTGTTCTGAAAGTGAGCATGCTTATATTTCCAAAATTTCTATCAAGTGAACATATAAGGAGCTTCCTAGGTATGATTTCCTGAGGCAGTAAAAAACAAAGTATGTGTGGTCCATATACACAATGGAGTACTATGCAGCTGTAAGAAAGAAGGATCTCTTATCCTTTGAGACAACATGGAGGGACCTGGAAAGTATTATCCTAAGTGAAACAAGCCGAACAGAGAAAGACAAGTATCATATGATCTCACTTATTTGTGGAATATAATGATCATAACAGTCTGAGGAATAGGGTAGACCCAGAGACGTGGAAGTCGGGTACAGACTGACAACCCTCAGAAGAAGGGGTAGTAGGGGGAGGGAAGAGATAAACCACAGAACTTATATGCATGTATGCGTAACCAATGGACATGGACAACAAAACCGGGGACAGGGTGGAGGGGGATGGGGAGGAGGGTGTCAATGGGGTAAGAAAGGAGAAGCATCTGTAACAAAAATAGAGTAAAATAAATTTAAAAAAAAAAGAAGTATGTATCCTTGATGCTTAACTATTCTGAGATCTTAAATTATCCCAATATCTCATGCATGAGTTACTGACATCTCAGACACATTTACCTGGTCTTAGAGAGATTTCTAAGATTCTTAGTATTATCTTAACAGCTGGTGGGTAAAGCAGAAAACTAAATCCATCCAGAAATAAAAGGAGATTTATTTTCAAATATCAGATCACTCTGTTTATCCCAGAATTAACTGACAAAGACTTTAAGTGACAGGAGAGTCCAACATTCTTAGCTCTCTGGGACAACTGAGATTAGGAACAACTGAGGTATAAAATGAGGCCCCAGAGGGTCATGGGCAAGGGGTAGAGCCCAGGATTCAACCCCCGGGGGGCACCCATGACCCCTTACCTGGTACGCAGTCAGTTACCATGATGAGGGTGAAGACTCTCCACAGCAGCAAGCGTGACTCCATCTTCCAGGCACCTGGGATAGATGGCCTAATTAGGGACAGTGAAGAGACGATGGTTCTCTGCAGAATTCCAGGTTTCCTGTCAGTCTTCTGTTAGCATCATGCTGGGAGGATGGGAGATGATAGGATCAATTCATCAGAGTTGCCATCCTTGCTGGTCCATCCAGTCTCTATGACAGGCAGGAGTGGCTCTTATAAGTCTTAGGCTGATTTGTTCAGCCAGGAAATCGTGCCTGGCAGTCTCTTCTCTAGTCTCAGATAGGAAGTGGTTTTAACCAGGTGTTTTTCAAGTTCAATTGCTGGGAGGTGTGGGCTGGGGTTGGTGAGAAGGATCGGGCTCCGTTGATGAGTCTTCTTCAGCTTCACCCAGAACAGGAAAGGGAGATTCCCCTGCCGTTACAGGAGGGTGAGCAAGCACTTCTTGTCAGTGGTCTCATCTAGCACTTTATAAATTGAGGTCTTTCCCCAGACTTGCAGCTCCCTACGGAGTCAGCAGATGTCACAAGAGATGGGGCAGCATGGGCCTGCCAACAGTGTAGAAGAGGAGCCTTATGGTAGACAGCAATTTCCTAAAGCTGTGTGACCACCAATCGCTTTAAAAAGTCTAGTGGGCATCAGGAGGGGTCTCCAATAGTCAATTATTCAAAGAGTAAGCAATAGACTGAGCTATACTCAGAATACGTTCATAATCTCCCAAGATTTTAATTGGTTCTAGCCATAGCCATTTTACCAGGATGTCCTGGGTTCCCAAATGTGAATTGTTTCATAATTACTTCCAGATTAGTCTTTCTCTTAAAGGATAATACTAAAAGTGGGCTTTGGTTTTAAACTTTGGACTTTTTTTTTTTTTTTGCAAAATTAACTCTTGCTTCCTTGTTTAATTATCAGAGAGCTATCTCCTGATTTTTCTAAAATAGTTGACTGTTTTGCTATCTGGAGAAGCATGTCCATTTGCAATCATCTTGTTATATTAAAATACAATTTTTACAATATCAGAAAGAAAGCAAAGGTATTGACAAAAGGAAGACCTCTGGGCAAGCCCACGCAGATCATGGTTCCAGTATGTATGTCTTCTGCCACTGACCTCTCAGCAAGAGAGCTACCTCCGAAAAGAGCCTTGGGATTCTGCAAATGAGTGGCTTCCAGGCTAAGTACAAGAATTCACAGAGAAAAATAGTAAACTGACCTGTTTCTCTGAGTGGGATACTTATCCAAATGTGACAAGATTATCTTTTAAGATTTCATAACAGCCCTTGCCGGTTTGGTTCGGTGGTTAGACTGCCGGCCCATGGACCAATGAGTCACGGGTTCAATTCCAATCAAAGGCACACATCTCAGTTGCAGTTTGTCCCCATCCCTGATCTGGGTCCTGCGGGAGGCAACCAGTCCATGTTCTCTCTCTCTCCCTCCATCCCACTCTATCTGAAGATAAATAGAAAAATATCCTCAGGTGAGGATTAAAAAAAAAAAAAAAAAAAGATTCCATAACAAGCTTAACCTCATTGCTAGAAACCTTTGCAACTGTATGGGGTATACAGCAATTCCGGTTATTAAGCTGGAGTTATCATCATACAATTTTGAAACGAACAGGAAAAATTGGAATTATATTACAAATAACATTTCCCCCGTAAACCATTTAAGAGTGTTGTCAATATGATGTTTCATCAGCCCTGGCTGGTTTGGTTCAGCGGTTAGAGCATCGGCCCACAGACCAGAGTCCTGGGTTCAGTTCCCGCTAGGGGCATGTACCTTGTTCGTGGTTTGTCCCTGGCCCTGGTTGGAGTCGTGTGGGTGGCGACCAGTCGATGTGTCTCTCTCACATGAATGTTTCTCTCCCCCCCCCCCCCCCCCCACTCTATCTGAAGATAAATGCAAAAATGTCCTTCGGTGAGGATAAAAAAAAAAAAATGATGTTTCATCCCCCTCGAATATGTGAGTGTGTATTTCCTACAAACAAGGACCTTCTCCAATATCACTAGAGCCATTAAAATCAGGAAATGGCATTGATGCATTACTTCCATTGAATCCTCAGACCCCAGTTTCTCCAGTTGTCTCAATAATGACCTTTATGGCAGAAGGATCCAGTTCAGAACCACTGGTTGCATTTAGTTGTCATGTGTCCTCAGCAGGTCCTCTGTCTTTTCTTGATTTCATGACCTGACACTTTTGAGGAATATAGACAAGTTATTTTGTAGATTATTCCTCAGTTTGGATTTCGTTATTGTTTCCTCATGATTAGATTCAGGTTTGGCATCCTTGGCAGGAATGACACAGTAGGGGCAGTAGGGGTACTGTGTACTTATGGCACCCATTTATCCCCTTCCTGACGCTGTTCACCTCGATCACTGGATTCCAGTGGCATCTTCCAGGTGCTCCCGCTTCAAAGTCACTGTTGTCCTCTTTGTAATAATTATTTTGTGACAGGATGTTAAAATATCCCACTGCATGTCAAACTTTCAATTTATTCATTTACTTATATCTATACGGACTCGTAATTTTCTATTATATTCAATGAGTTATAATCTATTACTGTCATGTATTTCAATGCCTAAATTGTCCCCTGCTTGTCCACCGGAAATCCATTCAAGCTGGCTTCTGTATCCTTTTTTTTTTATTATTAATTAATTAATTTATTTTTCTTACAGATGTTTCTCCTTTTTCCCCCACTGATTCATCCCTCCCCTTCCCTCTCCACCCTGTCCCCAGCTTTGTTGTCCATGTCCATTGTTCATGCACACATGCATATAAGTTCTGTGGTTTATCTCTCCCCCACCACCCCCTCTTCTGGGGATTGTTAGTCTGTACCCCACTTCCATGTCTCTGGAACTACCCCATTTCTCAGACTGTTATGTTCATTATATTCCACAAATAAGTGAGATCAAATGATACTTGTCTTTTTCTGTTTGGCTTATTTCGCTTAGGATAATACTTTCCAGGTCCCTCCATGTCGTCTCAAAGGATAAGAGATCTTTCTTTCTTACAGCTGCATAGTACTCCATTGTGTATAAGTACCACAGCTTTTTTTAATCCATTCATCTATTGATGGACATTTGGGCTGTTTCCAGATCTTAGCTATTGTAAATAGTGCTGCTATAAACATGGGGCTACATATATTCTTTCTGATTGGTGTTTCAGGCTTCTTAAGGTATATTTCTAGAAATGGGATCACTGGGTCAAATGAACACATGGGGCTACATCAAACTCAAAAGCTTCTGCACAGCAAAAGATACAACCATCAAAATGAAAAGGCTACCCACTGTATGGGAGAGCATAATTGCCAATGATATATCAGATAAGGGGTTAATTTCCAATATATATAGAGTGCTCATACAACTCAACAAAAGGAAGACAAATAACCCAATTACAACATGGGCAGAGGAACTAAATAGACACCTCTCCAAACAGGACATACTACTGGCTAAGAGACATATGAAGAAATGCTCAACATCACTAATCATCAGAGAGATGCAAATTAAAACAACAATGAGGTATCACCTCACACCTGTCAGAATGGCTGCCATCAACAAATCATCAAACAAGTGTTGGGGAGGGTGTGGAGAAAAGGGGACTCTAGTACACTGCTGGTGGGAATGCAGAATGGTGCAGCCACTATAGAAAACAATATGGTGTTACCTCAAAAAATTAAAATTTGAACTGCCATTTGACCTTCTGTGTCCTTTTGACTTGTCCCTGTCATTCTTTGAATACTTCCTTGCTTTGGGGTCATAAAAAGATTTTCTAAGCTCCTTTTGTGCTTTCTCTGTCCGATCCCTGGAATTAGCCATTAATCCAAAATTCTCTGATTGCTTTAGAGGAGATCATGGGGCTTAGACATCTTTGTTTTATTTATTTATTTATTTATTTATTTATTTATTTATTTATTCATTCATTCATTCATCCATCCATCCTCACCCAAGGACATTTTTCTACTTTTTGTTCAGGCAGAGTGGGAGGGAGAGAGAGAGAGAAACATCGACATGAAAGGGACACATCGAGTGGCTGCCACTCGCACGACCAACCAGGGCCAGGAACAAACTGCAACCGAGGTACGTGCCCTTAGCAGGAACCTAACCCCGGTCTCTCTCTCGCAGGCAGATGCTCTAACCTCTGAGCCAAACCGGCCAGGGCGGGCTTAGACATCTTTGGAAGATGCTTTTTTATTCTTTAAACCAAAAGATAGATAAACTCACAGTGCACTTTTAAAAAGGTTAAATCCTACATAGCCAGGCCAATATTTGTTTAACTACACTAAGCAAAATATGATTTGGCCGAGGGATCAGAGAGAGACCTTTAATTTTATCTGATTTTACACAAATATTTCTGCACTGAGAGAGGGAGGGACATTCTAGAGCTTTATCATAACCATCATTAAATATCTACTCAAGTGTTGTTCATCTTTTCTCTGAATGTCATTTCTTAGACGCTGACGTAGGGCCCACGGTGCTAACCCGGGCTTGTCTTGTCTCAGAAGCGCACAGCTGGGCACGTGCCAGAGAACTGCTGAGGCAGCGCGTTGACTCTTCAAACCCAAGTTTGCAAGTAGAAAAGATGTCGATCAAAGCTCTCTGCAGTGGAGGGGTATCTAGAGATTATTTATAGTTGTCTGAAGAGAAAAGTGGCAGCTGGAAGCAGCCACCTGTCTTGCATCTCCTTCCTTTGGCATCGGCTGGATTCAAGGCCACGTGAAAGATTGTCCTGCCCTGAGTAAGCGCTCTTCAACAACGGGCCGACTCTGACGTGTGCTAAGGGCTGAGATGACACGGACATCTGTTCAAATAAACCAGACTCGACCTATCAGAATGACCCATTAGCCCAGGTGCTTGTTTGTTTGTTGCATTCCATAGTTAGAAGCAAGAGCAAAATCCTAAGAAAAATAGGTCATGCTGTGGGCTGATCTCAGAAACCACGTTGAATGTTTGTCCTCAGGTTTTTTCTTCCTAGAATAAACTGTTATTGGGGAAGTTGGAATATCCCTTTCCTTCTGAGTGCTGGGGGTGGAGTCCTTACAATATCTTGAGAAAAAGAATTTTCTGAGACTTGCACAGGAGAATGAATGATTTTTTTTTTTTTTAAATCCTCACCCGAGGATATTTTTCTATTTATCTTCAGGTAGAGAGAGAGGGAGAGAAAGGGAGAGAGAGAGAAACATCGACGTGAGAGGGACACATCAACTGGTTGCCTCCCACATGACCCCAACCAGGGC